TGGCGCTGCCGTTTCGGCAGGGGCCGGAGGCCTCTGTCTGGGGCTGTCGGGCAACTTCCACGGTTTGTCAAACTTACAATTGCCAGGTGTCCGTAGGTGACCAGGCATGTTCTGGCCGTAATGCTTCTTGCAGCTAGAGCATTCCCAATGGTGATCCCCCTTGTCGCATCACCTACAACGTTTTAAATCTCTGTCATGTGAGGGTGGCGCATGTTCACATCATCCGCGCATTCAGGACATCCTAGCCCCCCCGAAGTCCGTCGCGTGTTTGACCCGTCGGGTATTCGAAGGATAGTTAGGTCACCCAAGTCATATCTCCGTGCGTTGGCAACGAGAACGGAGGAATAATAAGGGTTACCAGAGAAAGGACCACGGTTCAACAGGAATTGATCGACAACGAGAGACTGCATATGGACTGCGTCGACAAAAAGAGACTGCATCTTCGAAGTCCATTGTGCAGCCAGGGATCATTCATCATTGCGCACCGAGGCACCTCGATGATGGCCAGCACACCGCTTCCGTTCAACATGTGGAAGTAAGAGGCGGTGATTCGCCATTATCTCGATAGGTTTCCGAATCAATATTCCATGGGAGTCACGTGGACCAGTGGTGCTTGGATCTATATGCTCCGCAAGTGCCCTTGCAATTGGCCAATGTTGTCCATGGTGGTATTTGGCCCACCCGAATACCCACCGGTTGTCCTCGCTGATAAAACCGTCGAAGGTCATGTTGACGCACAGCAGCTCCCCCACAAAACTTGATATGCGGAAGGTCTGATTGATGGTGTTCATGCCGCGTGTCATGGTTGCCTTGGGCATTGAAGTAAGAAGGTAGTCTGGTCGTTCTGCAATGAGGTTGCAATATGAAAATGGACGGAACACACGTCCAAAGCATCCTGGACGGCTGTTACTAAGGACAACATATGAACGTTTGTCTAGGTTTCCTCCTGATGAAAAACATCGGCTGAAAGCGAACTGCATATTCCCCCGCTTCCTCCACGCAGTTCCAACGTATCCACCTTAGCGCGTCGTCCGTGACAGAGTCGGGATTGCGGAGAACACGTCGGCGCGTGCATCCGCAGGTGCCCCGCGGGTAACGCGATGAAGGTTTCTTCCTCGTCATTGCTCTCAGTGTCGAGGTCAAGGGGGGCGTCGGCGTGGCAAGCACCGCATCCGAGACCTTCTAGGTCGTCGCCGCAGTCATCTTTGCCGTCTTCGGCCACTTTGGGCATATTGCGTGGACGGATGCCCGCTTCTTTGTCGGCCTGTTGCTTGTCCTTTTGTTTGATCCAGCCATCAGCCATCTGTCGGCGACGCTGTCTGTTGTCCTGCGTCGGGCGAACAGAACGTCGGAAATCCAAGAATAGGGGGGGGGGGGGGGGGGGGAACGCGGCCGCCTTCAATCGAGGGGGGGGGAAGACGACCGTCATCGACGAACGCAACCCGCCTTGGGCGCGGTCGCTGGTCCTCCTGTCCGATAAGGGCAGGCGACAGCGGTTCCCAATGCAATCGAATGCGAATATGTGTCGCACCATTCGGTAAAGGCGCATCGCACTTGCACCCGATAGGTTGGCCCTGAATCTCGGCATCTCGCATAACAATATTGTCGCCAAGATTCATCGTCACCCTTCTCGCGACATGGTCCCGGTCAGGGCCTCTCTTAAGAGACTGAACGTAGGTTCGAGTTCCTTTATCCACTCTCGCGCGGATTCTAATGCGTGCAGCACTTTTATGATTTCTCTCTGTTTCGCGCAAATCTATTCGGTCAAGTCTCGCAGTCATGATAGCAAGTGTTCTGTTGCATCATTCTGCCTTCTGGGCGCCTTGGTCATGCCAATCCAATTCATGCTCAGCAGGTCGCGCGGGCCCCCCTGCAGATTGGCGCGTGCATCTTCGCAAATTAGTTGGGATGCGCGCTTGCGTGGTCGCCACCTGCAAATAGGATCCGCTCGGCAATTTACTTGAGCGGTCAAAGTTCAGACCGGAGTGACAACATCGCACGCGCGTGACCTGCAAGCCTAAATCTTCAAAAGCATCTCGCATGGGATCCTGCTTCCAGAAGTACCTGGGGGCCCCACAAGTACTATCGGCATGCGCAAAGCCCGAGCTTTAATCATCAAATTGTGGATACGTTGGCAATGTGGTCCTGTCCGCTTTCCAGGCAACCGAACATGCCAGTCAGCGGGAGCTGCCACCCACAGTCGTTGGTAATCCCCCGAGGGTAATCCACCCAAATACTGTACCTGTAGCGGTCATGACCCCTTCGCGTGCGATGCGGTCACACATGTATCCACGAGCTCGGATTTCAGCGCAAGCTGTTCGTATGTCTTCGATAACGAGTGCACGAGAATGGAAATGCTGTGATGCACGTTCATTTGCTGCGGCAGCCACGCAGCCGGGTCCAAACAACCGCTTGGAGTTAGATGGGGATTTTCAAGCCTGCCGGTTCAGCCTCGTAGCAGGCTATCTCGAAGCATGCCAATGTCTGGTCGATCCGTTCTCCCGCATGGACTCGGAAGTCGATGAGAGCCGCTCCTGAATTAAATTGGCGTTCCTCCTCTATGCTCTCAAACTTCGTGCTAAGGAGAAAGATGATGTAGGTGACACCATCGGTATGACGGCCGCCAATGTTGACGCCAAAATTAATAATTGCTGGGGGGATCTCATGGCTATGGTCCGTGCGAGGCCTCCCAGACCACACTACAGCGCTGCAGTCTGTTGGGAGGGCATTATAAGTCATAGCGCCTGTGGCCACGTTGATCTAGGCATGTACCTCTCGAACAAATTCACGGAAAGGTGCTCGACCGACCGGGTTCCAGTTGGGGCCGGTTGTTCTTGTGTCGTCTCCGCCACGCATGTGTCCCACAGCACGCCCGATGGCAACCCGCATGAGCCCAAATATAATAAGACCAAGCCAATGGCTCCGTAGGTAGTGGTCGGATGTCTGTGGCTGAGGTTTGTGGTATTTTGCTGTAAGCCTGCGTGGGGTTGGAGGCGGCACAAAATCATATCGCATGTTGCCATGCATGGTATCCTCGAACAAGTTTCCAATTGGAGGTGGGTGGACTTCCGGAGTGTAGTAGCGCAGGGACGTAGGACTAAAGTAAGAAGCCTCCGCGAGAGCATAGGTAGCACTGCAAGTGTCCTTGCGGTTGTGCGTGGTTAGGTACACTCCTCCGCGCAGACCCACTGCACCCGGATGTTCCACCATGTCAGTCGTCCACCAATTCGTGCCGTGGATGGTGAGGAGTAGAGCAAGAGCTGACCACCATGGGGCCAGCTCCGCTACCAAGTTTGAAAGGGGCCGGGAGGCCCGACCAGAAACTTCGCCATAGGCGCAGCGCAGCTCCAGCTCTGTTGTATCGTAGCAACGATAATCCCAGGCGGGGGAGGTCGTCGCGGGAGCGACGGGCCATCTCAAGCGGAGGATGTTTTCGGCCTCGATGGCAAGTAGTATGCCTCGCAATGAGGCGCAGCCATATGTTGCAGCTGGCCTCTTGAACACAAGCGGCCGCGGACAAACGCTTGCTATCTCTCGCCCTTGTCCCAGCTCACCTTAGAGTGGCCCACGAGTCCCCAAAGGGCCCAAGAGTGCTTCCAAAGAACAGCCGAGGAGAGGTCCAAACAAAAATTGTGCATTCCTTTTGTGAAACGTGCATTTTGTGCGTGCTCGCCTTTTTCGTTTTGGCCGCGTCCAAGACGGCCAAAAAAGCCCCCAAGACCGTGCTAAGACGAACCATGAGGCCCCCAAGAGAGCCCCAAGACGGCCCAAGATGACGGCCCCAGGGGGCCCCCAAGACGGCCCATGAGAGGCCCTCTTGGGCCCCAAGAGGGGCCCAAGAGGGCAAATACTGACTGTCAAATCGAACCTTTCCTCCCAAGATGACTCCAAGCCCCCTAGAGGCCCCCGAGGTGCCCCTAAGAGGCGCCAAGACGCCTTCAAGAAGCCCCCAGGAGGCCCCCAAAAGGCCCTCGAGAAGCTCAAAAAGCTCCCCAGGTGCTACAATGAGCCCTCCGAGATGCCCCTGAGAAACATCCCGAGGGCCTTTTCGTATGCATCCACGAGCCTTTTGACCCACTTCACTCCTTCCACGAACGCTGCAAACTCTCACTGCATCGTCACACTCCGTGCACGCCCCCAGTGGCCGTCACGAGACCCCGACAACGCCCCGAAACGGTTCTCAGAACGCTTCACGATTGCCTCTCACAGCCTTCCCTGAGCCTTGCCCACAGACTCCGACGCTGAGGCCGTGTACCCACATTTGCAAGGGGCCAGACCGCGCGCGACATGATCGGCCCCAACGTCCAACCTTCCCCATTGGTCTCTATCTCCTAGAGCCCCGAATCCTGCTCGAACAACGGGCGAAGAACTTGGCAGCGTGTCTTCCAGGCAACAACCCCTCCCGACATCGACCGCCCAACTCCGAAGGCCCCAAGAGACCCGGCAAGGCCCCAAGAGAATCGAGAAACCACACACTGTATTCAGGCACCAATGCTCAAGATGACTTCCGCAATGCTGCATTACTCTTTGTCTTCCCCTGGGGGTCGGCGGATTGGCGCAAGCCACTTGAATAACAATGGGGCACCTGCTAGCAGTACAGCTTATTGGTTTGTCTGCTCACTGATCAGCGGGAACATGGCCGCGAGAACACGTACGAACTACATGTGCCCCCATCGACGAAAGTCTTCCATGATGGAGAACCCCGGCACAAAGAATACAAGGGCACCCCTCAAAAAGCCAGGGCGGCCGTGCACTGATAACCATTGCAACTGTACACCCAATTCCCTCGACGAGCTCCGCCACCGATATCGCAACTCCCGGGACCTCTCCTGGGGTGCGTTCTGACCAGAACTGCGATGCGAATCCAGCCGTGGCGACCTGTACGTACCTCCTCTGAGGGCTGCCGTCAACCCTTCTGTCCGCTCTTCTTACCCCGAGTTCTCCGACGAGCTCCTCGGCCGATCACGAGACGCGGTGCAAATACCGAGCCGCTCCGACGCCTGTGCGCTGCCGAGGTAGAGCTCTCCCAGCCTCGCGGGGCCGCAGCCCGGCAAACGCGCAGCGGGCGACCGACCCCGTCATCTCCCGCGCGGGCGGTCTGGCCAGCCATGTAAACGAAGACAACTCGATCATGGGATACCAGATGTTGTAGCGACCAAGTTTGAAGCACACCGGCCGCGACCGATACCTGCATGTGAAGAAAATTGGTAGCGACAGATGTCGTCGGTCACGACTGGAAATTTCCTGTATCCCATGGTCAGGGTCTCCTGCGCAGGGCGGGCCAGCCAGCCATATAAACAAGGGAAAGTAGCGAAGACCCCCTCTCGTCGTGAAGATTGAAGGGCACGACGTCTCGTTGGTGCTCTACCCCGTTGATTCGGCCTGCAGGTGCCTTCGGCAAGCTGCGGGCCCGTCAACAAAACTGCCCGGGGTGAAAACACAACTCTTTCTGGGGAAGGGGCTCAGACCTCTGCATGCACCGCCTGGCTTCGTGGCCTCGCGGGCTGGACTCCGCGGCCGCGCCCCTTGGATACGAGGCGGCCCAATGCTCATGCCGTGCGCGGAGCGCGTCCATGGTATCGCGTCTCCGTGGCGATCGTGCCTCGGTGTCGAGACCACGAGGGCATGGATATGGTCGGGAACGTTTGCTTAGCGTGCCGCGTCGGCGGCACGCTGTGCCACGCGAGTGGAAAAGGAGTGTCGCTCCGCTCCGCGGGGCGGGAGACTCGAAACGGCTCGGGTCGTTGAAGCCTGGGGATTGGGACATGGGTAGCGGAGAGCGTGTCGCGCTGAGGCGTGGTGGGCCAGAGCCGGCAGAGCGGCACGCGAAGCAAAAGCTCCCGACCATGTGGCTACGTTGCAGCCGACCAGGGATAAAAGAAGAATCTTCAAAAACAGGAGACCCTCTGCCTGCCAAGCTGCAGAGCATTCGAGGATACCCCCTTCCCTAGGATGCGCAAGCACATGCAGAACACACGAAGAACCCTGGGGTGCCCTCCCCGAATCGTCCTCGATCTCATCCCTCCGTCCGACCGTACACGACTGTATGAAGGGGCCCTGGGACACACAAATAACTACACAAATAAAATAATTCCCCATATTTTCTTATATTTTCTGGGTTTTTGTGCTCCCCCCCACTTCCCATATTTTTCCCATACTTTCCTGGGGATCGTCGATGAATTGTGTATGTGTGTTTGTTTCCCTCCTGACTGTAGCTATTGGTCAATGGGTCTTGCGCACGCGGTCGTGGTGACCTTGCGCGACGGTCCACGCGGGCCACCCGCGCGACAGGCCGCGCGGGGGAGCGTGCGCTTGTCGGCGCAACCGACTTCGTCGTCTTTACGTCGCTCACCCGGGCGGGTCTGTGGGTCGTGCTGCTTCCACACGTCAGCATCTCGCCATCTCTCGGGCGTCCATTCCTCCCGCATTCTTCGACTACGTGCGTTCATGTTCTCGCAGGATGATCCAGGATGTTCCTCGATGATTACCGCCGGGAACAAACGCAAATGTCCGAGCGATGTCAAGTCGTTCACCTGGGCGGGTCTCTGGGTCGTGCCGCTTCCACACGCCAGCATCGTCCTGAACGGGTATGTGGCGACGTGCTCGGCCTCGTGCCAAGCCTGGCTCCTCTTTTGGCGCACCCGCCGGCCATCGCATTGCCTTTAATTAACCATTTTACATAGTCAGAGGTGGTGGAAACTAAACTGCTGTAATATTGTAGACACAAGCCGTGTTGCCTATGCCTTGCCACCATTCTCGCCACCTGTGTGTCCTCGGGCTGCCTATCCCAAGGGCCGTGCTAGAATCTCCAGCGCAGATGCGGGTGCCTGGATAATCCGTGGACGCGACTACAGGATGATCATCCGACCGTTCGCTGAAGGAAGCCAGCAGTATGATAGCCAGGTCCTCTCCGTCCCGAGCCGCCTGTCCTGGGGCAGCGCGAAGTGGAACTGCGCCGTGCCTGGCACCGATAAGGTTGCCAGCAGTCTATCTGAACCGCCGACCACCCTGAGCGTTGGACGCCGTGGAAACACCAATGAAATCCGGAACCGTCAACGAACGCGCAGCCGGAAAACCACCAACCAGGGAACACACTAGCAAACCGAAGCTGATTCTGGAACCTCCGAGAAGGGGAAACAAAATGAAGGGGAGGGAAAGAGACATCTGGCCATCATGTCTCCTTCCTCCACTCCAAACTGCCGAACGTACCTAGCAGCCCTGAGCACGTGACGTGCTGGAACACACCTCCCTTCTGAGCTGCGCACACCTGGGGCAGTCGTAGAACCGGTGCCAGAGCGTGCCGCGCGAGCCGCAGTGCGCGCGCTCGTCGGCGCGCGCCTTGGCATCTGCATGCAAGTGAGCCCGAGGCCGATGAGAGCTTCCCACCAAGCTCCTGACCGCCGCGGCTTGATGCTGAGACCAACTGTCTGAGGACTCATGACCTAGAAGCATTCTTACTGGCGCGCAATTGAAAGGCGAGATCCAGGCGGCCTGAAGACGAGCGAGGGTATTCATGTCCGACGCCCGCATGGCCAATGGCCTGACCAACTCCGCAAAAAGGCTGTGGAGAAATCGCCGGGTTTGAAGTCCCCGAGCATGCGGTGCCTGAAAAAATCAGCAGAAGGCAAGGCGCATCCTACTCTGGCCAGCGACAAGACAGCCGATTGCGAACGATCTACCACTTGCGCGCAAGGCCTTTCCTTCTGCAAGAGACTCTGTACTTCCTGCAGGCAGGCCTGCAACGGTCCAAAACCAGGGATGCCCGACTCATCGCAAACAATCCGCCGACCCCTCGGGGTTCATCGACGTGTGAGATGCTTCCCCCTCCCCAAACCCCTCCCCCGGGAGCCCGATCAGGTCGATGTGGAGGGGGGGGGGTTCGGCTGGCCGGGCTGGCCAGGGGGGTACTTTGCTTCAGAAATTCTGCCGGGGGCGGCATCGAGGCCCTCAAAACGAGCCACGAGGGCCCCAAGAGACCTCCAAGACGGTCCAAGAGGTCCCCGAGTCACCGAAACATCGTCCCAAGACGCCCAAGATGGCCTCCAGACGGCCCAAGATGCCCCAAGAGGCTTCGAAGAGACCACCCAAGAGGGCCCACAGAAGCCAAAATCGCTGATTTTCTTTTCAAGGTTTTTGGCTTTCTAGCCTTGTTGGGCTTCCGACGCTAGAAGACGGCCCAAGAGGCCCCCAAGACCGCCCCAAGACGGCCCAAGATGCTCCCAAGGCCCCAATACGGCCCAAGAGGGCCCTAACACGGCCCAAGATGGCCTCCAGACAACCCAAGGAGGCTCCAAGATGGCCCCAAGTGGGGCCCAAGAAGGGGACCACGACCCGAAAATTCTAGCTTTCCGCCTCAAGAGGCCCCTGGGAGGTCCCAAGAGGCGGCCCTCAAGGAGCCCCAAGAGGGCCCCAAGAGACCCCCAAGAGGCCCAAAAGAGGCCACCCCCAGAGGCCTCCAACCTGCCCCGGGCAGGCCCCCGAGAGGCTTCTCACGAGATCCCAACGAACATGAAAGAGGCCTCTGAACCACAACCCAGGCACGATGGCGGGATGGGCCGAAGGCCACTAGATACAAATACAAGCATAAGTCACACAGCACCCAGAAGCAGCAACAGAGACTCTCCCCCAAGGGGTCGGCGGTGCGGCGTAAGCCAAACAATAACAACCAAAGGGTCTCTGGTGGCCCTTCTGGGGCGAAGCGTAGACGCAAGGCCACCGATGTGCCCAGGGGGACCCCTCTCTCCCCTCAAAGTGGCTGGCCTGAGGGCAGCGAGGAGGAGAAGGATGACTAGGAGGAGAGGAAGCAGAGGAGGAAGGAGCGGCGACGATAACGACAATGACGATGACATGGCGACAGCGTCGACGAAGTCGACGACTGCGGCGACGACGCCAGCCCCCAACTCGACCCCTCCTGGAGAGCACTCTGCCCACAACTTCGATGCGGATCCAGCCGTGAGCACGAAGGAGCCCCCGCAGGTCCCCAACTACCCCCAAACCTGAAGTCTCCAACCCCGATCGATCGATCGATCCTCGAGACCCGATTGACCGACAGCGAGTGTGACGGCGACGACGTCGACGACGGCGACGGCGGCGGCGACGACGACGGCGGCGGCGGCGACGACCGCGACGGCGGTGGCCATGACGTCGGCGACGGCAGCGAAAACAACGACGTCGACAATATTGCGAGCTATTTATCTAACGCGCTGCTTTGACCTGTCGTTGTTGCCGCCTTTCCCTTGTAACAACACGCTGCAGGTCTATGGACCTGCCGCCCTCTTGAAGGGCTTCCTTTCACACCAGATTCTGGCAGAACCGTGCAGCAATGCACTGCGTGCGCCCACACCGCCGCCACGGTCGTCATGCGATCCAACGCGCCCGCGGGAAACTCATCAATTTGAGTGAATTGCGGTGGGGTCTCGGAGGGAGAGTGCGTTTCCGAAATTTGGGGCGCTCCAGGGCGTCTCAGAGTAAACTGAGCGGCCGGGAGCCGTTGTCATCGCAACTTGGCTCTCACATCATGCAGAAATTACACGGACATCTGTGGCGAGAGCGCCACTCCTGAGCGGGAGGAGGTTTATGACAAAGGCGCACGTGAGCAAACTACGAGGAAGCATCGAGCCGGAGCCACTGTTGTCGTAGCCGCGCCTCCACCAAATTGAATGAACGACGAAACAGTACTGGGCCAGAGCGCCTTTCCCGGGTTAGGATATCTCTCTGGCCAGGGCGTCTCGAAGTAAACCATGATGATGCACCGAGCGGGAGCCATGGTCGCCATAGGTGGGCCTTCACGAACTTTGACAAAATTGCGAAGGGGTATCTAGTTAGTGCGCCGCGCGTTCCTAAATTTTGGGGCCTCTCTGAAAAGGCCGTCTCGGAGGAAGGAGTGAGGCCTTGTCGAACGGGATCGTTGTCGTCGTAGTTGGGGCGCCACCGACCAGGTTTCGAAAGCAAGCCCGCACTCGAGCGGGAGCGGCGCTTTCAGAGAAGATGCAGGCGCCATGGAATCCAGAGGAGAACATCCCACCGAAAACCTCAATGAACCCCAAAGAAACTCAAACAAATTACGGAATCAACTCCCCCATAGAACCTTCCGCAAAAACCTCGCCAACGACAGATAATCTAGAACGACGACGGAACGGAAATGCTCACACCCCATTCCATGGCTCCTGGCCAGTTCCCTGGGGCGCGCCTGGCTATGACGACGAGAACTTCCAAAAAACGGCCCGAAAGGACCCCCAACCTGTCGAAACGACAACGGCTCAAGGACCCCCCGACGCCGTGATTGTTCCACAGCGCAGACCCCTGGAGGTATCGACCCCTTCCACGGGGCCGGCGGTTCGTCCTGGGTCGACCCTGGACGGCCCAGGGAGCCGGGGGCCGAGCAGTGGTTACGACGCGAAGGGGTCTGGGCCTGGGGGGGGAAGCATCGGGCCCCAGACCTCCCCTGGGGCGCGCTCTGACCCACGTCTGGAGGCGACTCCAGCCGTGGCGACGAGAAGCCCCCGCCAGAGGCCCAAACATCACAACAAAAACTACAGCTTTTCCGCGACGCGAAGGGGGATGGGGCGACACCGGCGGCAACATCGACGATGAAACCGCGAAGCCCCTCAAGGGAGGCCGCGCGCCGCGCAGGGGCCTTCCGGCCGGCAAGCCCCGCGCCAGGCTTGCGCCCGCGGCGGAGAGCAGGCCTGCTCGGGGCGGGCACGGCCCGGGGGGGGGGCAGGGGCGAGGGTGGGCGAAGAGATGGGAAGTCAAGGAAGGAAAGGGGGGGGATCACCGGCCTCGAGTTTGTCCCAGTTCCTAGGATTGACAAGCCGGAAGGCGATGACGATCTCAGGGACGCGCTCTCAGAAGCTGAGGGATCCCCTCAATCGGCATCAACACAAGGCGATGCCAATCATAGGGATGGGGATCTGCTTCAGGCTGGCAAGGGAAGGAAGGAGCCCCCCTCCACTTCACTTCTCGTCGCCCTTCGAGCACAGCTGGGTCCAAGTGATCGGAGGCGCCTCCGGAGGGGGTTAAAGGAGGGAGTCCCCCATCCACTCCTCGTCGCCCCTGAAGAGCTGGCTCCAAGTGATCGGAGGCGCCTCCGTAGAAAGGAGGGAGTCCCCCATCCACTCCTCGTCGTCCCTGGAGCGAAGCTGGTTCCGAATGATCGGAGGCGCCTGCGGAAGAACGGGGGGGTGAGGGAGTCCCCCCTCTACTCCTCGTCGTCCTTGAAACGAAGCTGGGTCCAAGTGATCGAGGCCAAGGGAAAGGAGGGAGCCCCCACTCCATTGCGTCGTGGCCAAGCAGCGCGGATGCGGCCAGGAGCGACCAGGCTTGCCACCGGAAAGTGTGTCCCGAGCGCCGAAAACGCAAGGCGAGCGGGCGGGACATTACATAAAACCTGTCGTCGTCGGCGTCCTCGTCGTCGTCCACGTAGCAGTCGTCGACGCCATCGTCGTGATGCTCGTTAGCGCGTGCTGGCCCCCTGTCGCAATCGTCGTCGACGTCGCGTGCGCTTGCTGGCATCCCTCGTCGGCGTCGTCGTCGTTGCCGCCGCCGCCGTCGTCGTCGTCGCTGGCCCTCGGGATTCTGGCAAGAGCAGGCAGGGAGGGGGGATCCTCCAATTCTCGGGGGGGCCCCCTCCAGGGAGGCTCAGAGACCAGAACCACTTTAGGATCCCCCCCTTCGGTCGAACACGGGGGGGGGACCCTTCAAGCGACCACAGGAAGAGTTCGCTCCGACCTGTGATGGCCCCGGCCCGAGGCCCGGCGGAGCTGTCCAGCCTGAAAAAATCAAGACGCTTGATGATTGCGCGCCGGCCGATAAGACCAAAAAACAGGGCGGTGGGCGGGGAGAGGGGCAGGCGGGAGGCCTGCGGCGGGCTCCAGCAAGTCGACACGCTCGCAGTGCCGCGACAGCACCTCCGCGGCCACCCGCCCGACGCCTGGCGCGGCAGGGTGGGGGTCAACAGCCTCAATCGGCGAGGCGGAAGATTTTCGCTTTTCTTGTGGCAAGGGCTCACAACGCACATTGTCGATCAGATCGTCGTCGTCGTCGTCGTCGTGGTCGTCGCTGGTTCGTAGTCGATCGTCGCGGTCGCCGCTGTCGTCGGCGTGGTCGTCGCCGCCGTCGTCGTCGTCGTCGTCGTCGTCGCTGGCCCGTAGTCGGTCGTAGCTGTCGTCGCTGTCGTCGTCCGTCGTCATCTCAGTCGGTCGGTCGGGCATCGTCGGTCGTCGGTGCGCCGCCAAAGCGCCCGACGCCAGGCGCCCCGCCGAAGCGACAGAGCCGCCAGGAGCACGGCAGCCCGGCGCGGTGAGGGCGTCGCGCTTCGGCGGCGGCGTTCACTGCCTGCGCACCGCGGGAATGGAGCAGAATCGCTTATATTGCACAAAGAATGCTCGAGTGGTGTATGCTTGACTGATCCACTCCATTCTTGTCAAAGAGCCAGGGCTATACAAAATGACTTACAAACGTATCGGCTCCGCCAGGAAGGAGGACAAGAGGGAGAGGAGGGGAAGAGAGAGAGAGAGAGAGAGGAAGAGAGGTTTAATAAATATACTGCGCCTCACATCTGCTCCCGGACAGAAATCCAGCCCGCTGGTAAGATACAACATTCTAGACAGACGGATCTATAGTTCCGGGAAGCACCAGACAATAGAGCAGAATTGTGGGCGGCACAAAGTCGGTGATCACGCGTCACAACTTTCTGCGGCAACTCACGGGAGCCTCCCATACCATCTTTTTGGCTCTTATAAATCGATGCTGCTCGACTCCAAGTGGACGTTCAATCGACGCTCATCGACACTAGTCGACGCGAAATCGGCGCTATCGCGCCGAATACCAGGCGCAAATCGACGCCAATGCACTCTGAAGACGGAACTGTGAGCCCGCCCCGGGAATGCTTCTGCTGGCGGCGCCGGGCCCGCGAAAGCTGCCCCCAGAGACCGGAGCCGACAAAGTACGTCCGCCCTGACGTGTCGCCGCGCCAACAGCACGGCAAACCCACGGCCAACCCATGGTTAGCCCTGCGCCCGAGGCGGCGCTTGCCCTGGTGGCCGCGGCGTCCTCCCCAAGACGCAAGACCGCGCGTCGGAACAAATGGCACGGCGATTTCACGACAAAGGCGACAAACCCGATGGGTCTGTAGAACCCCTGCAATACTTGGAAGCTCATTATCTCTTCGGCGACCTAATTGACGAACTGGGGTCCCACCAACAGTAGAAGAATAAATGATGTATCCACGGCACCCGCCGCGCAACGACGGCAACGACGACTACGACTACGATTACGACTACGCCCACGATGCGACTACGGAGGGGGAGGGGCGGAGCTGATTCACCGCAGAGAGAAACAAGGGGGGGGGTCCTCAAAACTAGAAACCTCCCGAGGTTAGACGCCCCTGGTCAAGCCCGACGCCGTGGGGTTCTCCACGGGTGCGCCCCATCCAGCATAGGCCACGGGAAGCCAAGCGTGGCGACGGGCCCCCGAGAGTCCAACGTCCTCGAGACCCGGTCCCCACGCCTCGCATGGCACGAGGGCCATGCCAAAGCTGTGCGCCCACCTCGGAGGCGTGCGCCCGACATGCTCGGGGAGACGCGAAACTCATGCTCGGGGGACCCGGGCTGGCCTGACAGGGCGAATCATCAAACTCATCGAAACTTGACGCGAGCGCCCGCTGCAAACATCCCACGCAAAGTGGACCCTCAAAATCCAGGACGCGCTCGCCAAAAAGCGTTGGGCGCCGCGTAATGGGGGGGTCATAAATGGGGGGGTGGCGAGGGTGGTTCGAAAAGGGACCCAAACGGTACCTAAACGAGCCCCCTGGGGCTCTGGAGGGGCCCGAAAGGGGACCGTTTCTGACCCCTCCGTTTATGACCCCCCCATTGAGCCACGCCCAAAAGCGTCGGCAAACCCGCGTGCCGGCGTTCTCGAGTCTTGCGCTTCCCCGAGGTGCTGCTTCCCGACCTGTGCGGCCCTAGAGGGCGCCCGCCACGAAGCGTGCACTGTGGGATTTCTCGGCGCGCGCCTCGATCCTCCGGGGTGGCCGCGCACGTGGTATTCGTAATGCGGGATGACGATTAATTAAAAAATGGGAGAGAACAATTAAAGAAATGGTTTTCTGCTATTTCTGCACAATTTTCTGACGTCGTCGATCTATGCACGCACCCTGGGCCCAGGAGTAATGCGGGATGACGATTAATAGAAACAATGAGAGAGAACGATTATCAAAAATAGTTTTCTGCTCTCCTGCACAATTTTCTGACTGGAGGAGAACGATCAAAAAAATAGTTGTCCAGCCCGCGGCTGGTTTTTCTAATCGTCATCCCGGGCGTCGCCGCGTGAACACGACCCCCGGTCATTTACTGATCGTCATCCTCCATTATGACTTGCCATCGCTCCGACGTCCATTCCACCTCCATGTTTCGCTTTCATGCGTGTTCCCTCGTTGCTCGATGATCCAGGATGCTCTTCGAGGGTCGTCGCCGAAGAAAAATGCGCACGTCCGAAAGATGCCAAGATGACTGGGTTGCGCCGATCGTACATCGGCCCTCGAGATTAGGGCCTGGGGGTCGTCGCGTGTTTCTTGCGTGGTCCACTGGTCGGGCGTGGCGGGCGGTCCTCGTGAGGAGTCGCCGCCAGGCGGCGCGTTTCGAGGGCAACTCGCAAAAGTGTTGGTCGTCCCCATAGCTCGCAAGCGGACGCAACGCATCTCCCTCGCATGGCGCTACTGGGCGCTGTTGGTCGCTCTGGGGCGCCATCTGAGCGCTATTCGGCGCTACTGGGCGCTATTGGCCGGTATTGGGCGCTAATTGCCGATACGCATGCCATTCAACCATTCCAAACGAGCGGTCACTTCCCTGATGTACTATCCAAGCGTGACGTCTGTGCTCCGCTTCGATCACGTGGACGCTGTGCGGCACTCCGGCCACACCCTGATCATGGGATACATTTGCTTCGGTCGCGACCGACAAGAAAATTCGTTACCGATTTTGCTTCACATTTTGGTATCGGTCGCGGCAGGTTCGATAAATCTGTCGCGACCGATCGGTCGCGACCGATCTGGAGTGCCGATTGGTCGCTACCGACCCATCGCGACCCACAAAACCTTCTATCCCATGATGTGGTTTCCCTGTTTTTTTCGGCTGGCTGGCCCGCCTGGCGCGGGAGATGACGTGGCTGGTCGGCCGCTGCGCGTCCGCTGGGCCGCAGCCCCGCGAGGCTGGGCGCGCTGCGAATCGCGACCGAGAAAGACGGGCACATCTGGTGCTCTGGGCTCCGGTGGCCGTCCTGCGGCACCCCGGCCACGCGGAGGGGCTCTGCAGCTGCGCAGGGCCCCCCCCGCCGCCCTCCATGGGGGGGCCAGCTGCGCGCAGCCCCGCCTCTGGGAGGAGCGGCACCCGAGGCCTCCCGCGGCTGTCCGGATGCGCCCAGAGAGGGGGCCAGGACGAGGGAGGGGGAGGGCTGCGGCTCCTGGCCCGAAGCACGCGAGCGGACGGGTGGGGGCCACCCAGATCATCGGATACCAGATTTGCGCGGTCGCGATCGATAGCGGCCGATCGGCACTCCAAATCGGTCGCGGCTAATCTCGATCGATCGGTCGCGGCCGATGTAGCAGCAAGAAAATCGCGCACCACACCAGAATGTGAAGCAAAATCGGTAGCGACCGGTCTCGTCGATCGCGGCCGAACAAGTCTAGTATCCAATGGGGGGGGGCGCCAGGAAGAGGGGGGGCCGCGCATCCTGGCCGCGCATTTTGGGTAGGTGGCCCAGAAGCATGCTGAAAGAAGGAGAGCGGGGCCTGCAATGTGGGAGATGCACGCCTCTAGTCCTCACCCCCCTCTCGGAGGCCTCAGGAGCAAGAGGAGGAGGAGGAGGAGGAGGAGGAGGAGGAAGAGGAAGAGGAGGAGGAGGAGGAAGAGGAGGAGGAAGAGAAGGAGAAAGAGGAGGAGGAAGAGGAGGGGGAAAGGGCCAGCATGAGCTGGTTTCGCCGGCGCTTGTTTCGCCCCCGCGCTGGTTTCGTCGACGTCTGGCTTCGCCGACGCTGGTTTCGCCCCGCTGGCTTCGCAGACGGCTGGTTTCGCCAGCGCTGGTTTCGCCGACGGCTGGTTTCGCCGGCGCTGGTTTCGGCGGCGCTGGTTTCGCCCCGCTGGCTTCGCAGACGGCTGGTTTCGCTGGCGCTGGTTTCGCCCCCGCGCTGGTTTCGTCGACGTCTGGTTTCGTCGACGCTGGTTTCGCCCCGCTTGTTTCGCCGACGAGTGGTTTCGCCAGCGCTGGTTTCGCCGACGGCTGGTTTCGCTGGCGCTGGTTTCGGCGGCGCTGGTTTCGCCGGCGGTTGGTTTTGCTGGCGCTGGTTTCGCCGGCGCTGGTTTCGCCGAAGCCGTCGTCGACGCGGGCGGGCGGACCCTAGCGGGCGGGTCGGGTCGGGTCGGGCGGGCGAACCCTGACGGGCGGGTCGGGTCGGGTGGGCGGGACATTCAAGTGGGGGGCACGCTCGACCGAGAACGCGCGAACCCTAACAGGCGGATCGGGTCGGGCGGGCGAACCTTGGCGGGCGGGTAGGGCCTGGTCGGGCGGGCGGACCCTGACGGGCGGGTCGGGTCGGGCGGGCGGGACATCAAAGTGTGGGGCACGCTCGATCGAGCACGGGCGAACCCTAATATGCGGGTCGGGTCGGGTGGGCGAACCCTGGCAGGCGGAACGGGTCGGGTCGGGTCGGGCGGGCGGACCCTAACGGGCGGGACGTGCCGGGCTGTCGGGACATTGAAGTGTGGGGCGCCCTCGATCGAGCACGCGCGAGCCCTAACGGGCGGGTCGGGTCGGGCGGGCGGACCCTGGCGGGCGGACCCTGACGGGCAGGTCGCGCCGGGCGGTCGGGACATTAAAGTGTGGGGTGCGCTCGACCGAGCACGCCCGAACCTCAAAGGGCGGGTCGGGTCGGTTGGGCAGACCTTAGCGGGCGGGTCGGGTTGGGCGGGCGGGCGGACCTGACGGGCGTGTCGGGTCGGGCGGGCGGTCGGGACATTAAAGCGTGGGGCACGCTCGATCAAGCACGGGCGAACCCTGACAGGCGGGTCGGGTCGGGGGCGGGCGGACCTTAGCGGGCGGGTCGGGTCGGGCGGGCGGACCCTAACGGCGGGTCGGGTCGGGCGGGCGGGACATTAAAGTGTGGGGCGCGTCGACCGAGCACACGCGAACCCTGACGGGCGGGTCGGGTCGGGTGGGCGGACCTTAGCGGGCGGCTTGGGTCGGGTCGGGCGGGCGGGGCCTCATGGGGGGGTCGGGTCGGGCGGGCGGACCCTAGCAGGCGGGTCGGTTCGGACGGGCGGGCGGACCCTGACGGGCGGGTCGGGTCGGGCGGGCGGGGCATTAAAACGTGGGGCGCGCTCGACCGAGCACGCGCGAACCCTGGCGGGCGGGTCGGGTCGGGCGGGCGAACTTTGGCGGGCGCGTAGGGCCTGGTCGGGCGGGCGGACCCTGACGGGCGGGTCGGGTCGGGCGGGCGGGACATCAAAGTGTGGGGCACGCTCGATCGAGCACGGGCGGACCCTAACGGGCAGGTCGGGTAGGGCGGGCGGGTCATGAAAGTGTGGGGCACGCTCGGCCGAGCACGCGCGAATCCTGACGGGCGGCTCGGGTCGGGCGGGCGGACCCTGGCAGGCGGGCCGGGTCGGGCAGTTTCGCCGACGGCAGCTGGTGTCGCCGACGGAGCTGGTTTCGCCGGGCGGCGAAGCTAGCCGGGCGAAACCAGCCGTCGGAGAAAGCAGCAGCGGTCGCCAAGGGGCCGAGGCCTCCCGCGCCCGCCCGCGGGGTGAGCAAAGCGATTGCAAGACAGCGCGCCGCCTGCTAGGCCCCGCCGCCAATCCAAGCGGCGAGCATCCGTCGGGCATAGCCCCATGAAAGCTGATGGGTTGCGCGATCCATAGGCTGCGCCGTATGTTGCGCCGTCCATGGGATGCGCCGTAGGTTTTGCCACTGGCTGCGCACTCGGCGGCCGAACGCAAGACAACGCGCCTGTGATTGTGCATTGTGTGACGAGTTCGGCCGCTGAAATCAAAACGGGCTGCGATTGGTTGCGCCAAAGACTGCTCCCTCGGACTCGGCCGCCGAACGTGGTTGCGCCAAGCAACGTCACAACACACGTAGGCGACAATCGCAGTGCTGTTCACAAATTAATTTCATACGGTTCCGAAAATTCACATCTATGCAGTTTTCTCTTCGTCGATCTTCGCGACGGGATGGGGTCTGGGGCTGGGGACGGCGGCTGGTGCTGGCGGGGGGCGGGGCGCCTGCGCCGACGTCAAGGGCGCGCGGGAAGCGCGGGGCCGCTGGCGCACAGCCGCCGCCGCCGCGGGCTACCGCCGCCGGCCTCCCTGGGGCGCCTCCCCGGGGGTTCGTCTGCGCCAATCCTGCTTGAATGGCCGCTGAGGTTGCTAAGGCGCTGTGTCAACACAAAACGGTCCCAGCCAGACTTGTTCCGAGAACATGTTGTGCAGACAACCAGAAAAGGTTCCTTAGAACGTTCTTTGGTGGGCCTATCGGCAAGCCAGGACGCCTCGCCGCTGCCTGAGTGGAGGCGACGCGGTGACTGGCCCAGCAGGTGACCCGCGACAGCTGGTAGCCCTTGGGTGGGCCTTTAATAGAAGCCTCTGTGGACCTCCACGGCCCCATCGTAAACATGATTTCGACCGTATGTCTTCCAGATTTCGACCAGCCCTCCTCACCCTTTCGTCCAAATGTTGTCCAGACGTCGACCACATCCGACGAACTCCGTCTGAAGCCCCCGAAACCGCAAGAAATTATGTGACCCTCTGTGGCTCCAGTGAAAGACCACACCACTAAGGGGATAAAGGGGGCTATCAATTGATAAATCGATGCGAATGTGGGCTGCATCCAGCCAAACCCAGCTTAAACAAGGGGTGCAATAGCCCTGAGAGTGGGTTGAAGGTGTTAGGAAACTCTGCTCCACCTTGCCATCCCCTTAGAACACCCCTATCCTCTTAGCAACTTTAGCGGTGATCCAAATCAACCTCTCGCGACTCCCTGGTATAACGACACGAGAAAACAACGACAATGACTCGCTTCCGCCTCTTGGGGCCCTCGCCGGGCCCCAAAACCGTCAACAAAACGGCTCAGGACGATAAGCCAGTCCAGAGAATGGGTCGAGACGTTCTGGAAATCCAGGTTGTGACGGAAATCATGTACCTGTCTGAACCCATCCCAGATTTCTGTCGCTCGTTCGCAGGCCATGTCGCACAACACCTTGGCTCACGCAGGGGGGATAATGCCAGCCGCGCGGGAGAAAGGCAGTCTGAGATCAGAGAGCAATTGGACTTAGCATCTATGAGGCGACTGGAAGGAATCAGGTTGTTGAACAATTGCTCTCCAAATTGGCTGTCCATGCCATGAGCAAGTTACGGAGGGCGCTAGAGAACAAACGATAGGGAACAATCGTCAGGAGGGCAACGGGGCGGAGAGCATGAATTGGGGCCGCGTGGCAGGATGTAGCGGGGAAGGGCGGGCAAGGGAGGGGGTGAGGAGAGGGGGAGGACGCGGTGGGTGGCGGACGCAGGCTTCCAGCGTAGGCCGCTTGAGTACCTGCAACCAGCTTATTAGCTAGGCTTCAACCAAATATGACGCACCTTGGCATTGACTTGGCCCCACATCCCCTTAACAGCCCCACCAATGATCCGAATAAACTCAATCTTTCTGCTTTACTTTTCGAGCCAGGTCGATCTGCGAATGCCAGGGTCCCGAGATAACGCGTTATCCACAGGAAGCGACGCAACGAAACGGCTATCATGCGCGATGGTATAGCGACATTACGCAGTGCTTTTACGTGGGCCGCTAACATGGGCACGCTACATTGGCGACGAGGTAGTTCACGCGCAAATCTTACACGGGCAACTTACGCGTAAATATCAGCGCATGGGAACCCGTTCTTTTGAGTCGCCCTGGTGTGAACACAAATCGACGCCAGGATCACGGGGGTAAAGATCGTCGACGAAGACGACGACGACGACGAAGCCGCCGCCGCCGCCGGCGCCGTCGAGCGACGCGGGAGCCCAGCTGGCGGCCAGCGACAGCGCTAGCGGACCCCCAAGCCTGGGGGAACAAAAAGGTAGACCGCCACTCCACGGACGTCTGGAGGGGTCGGAGGGGTGCGTTCTGACCAAGATTTCCAGGCGAATCCAGCCGTAGAAACGAGGGAAGGACAACTCACGCGGCAACCACGCTGTGACATCGACCTCAGAGCCACTCGGCAAAGCGAGTACGAAGGCCAGGAGGCACGAGGAACACGCCGTTGACGAAAACGATGACGACGACGACGCCGCCGCCGCCGACGCCATCGATTGAGCAGGGACCAACGGTCCCAACTTTCCTGTAACATGTTCTTGGAACAGAAGCCGCTGCGATCACACAATACGGTCCCAGCAATTTTGGAGAACATGTTGTGCAGACTACCAAAGGTACTTAGAACCTTATTTGGTGGGCCTATGGGCAAGCCAGGACACCTCGCCACTGCTTGAATCGAGGCGACTCGAGGGCTGGCCCAGCTGGTGGACCGCGACGGCTGGCGGCACTTTGGTGGGCCTTGAATGGAGCCTCTGTGAACCTCCGCGCCGCATCGTCAACGTGATCTCGACCAGATTTCGTCCAACTTTCGACCACCCCTCATCTCCCTTCCGCCCATATTCCTTCCAGAGTTCGTCTGAATTTCGTCCAGATGTCGACCACCACATCCGGCGAAATCCAAGCGGAATTCCCAAAACCGCAAGAAATGGTGGGACCATGTGAGGCTTCACGAAGAACCACACGAACACAGTAGACACTCGGAGCAAGGGCAGAAGACCACTCTACCAGAAAACCAGCCACTCCGCCGGCAAAAAGACGCAACAACATGAGGTCACCTCAAGGGCGGTGAACGTATCCATGTCCAAGCCCTCGCGGTCTGGACTCGGGGGCGTGATCCCGCGGATACGCGGTCGCACGGATACGTTCCACGCGGTGCATACGCGAAACATCGACCCGCATCCACGGGGACGCGGCCCAAGGGCCCCACCCGCGAGACCGTGAATACGGATATGTCCCCAGACATGCGACGCCCTGATATGTTCAACTCGCGTTCCCCCGGAAAATCAACCATCATGAGTCTTTCTTCAAAAGATCCCGCAGCCCAGAAGGGCCCTCAAAGGCCGAAACAGCGAAAAACTGTCCGTCCTTATTTTTTGTACTGATCGAGCGTGCTTGGGCTTTCTCCCACGATCACGGCGCTTTCTTTCCGACCAGTCACCAGACCTTCACTGCCTGGCCCACGGTACATAGGTTCGTGCGGCGTTGGCGCGCGGAAAGATTCAGCCTCGAACCGATCATGGCCCCGAACGTTCAACCTTGAACCGATCGTGGCCCCCAACGTTCACGGTTGCAATCCGCCGGGCCCCGTGACGTAATGACGTGTCCCTCAGCGCGCCCACGTCGTTCGATCATGCGGGGTTCGAGCGCCGTCGCCGCGCGAACCTACCGCCTCAGCGGCCCCCACAGCCGGCGGCCAATGACACGCCAATGGGCGGCCGGCCAGCTGGCCCGCCGGAACCCGCTGGCGGCCCCGCGTCATGCAGAGAGGCCGGCGGCGGCCAGCGCCTGATCCGACGCAGCGCGGCAAGGAAGGCGGCCGAGAGCGCCAGGTCGTGGTCCTGTTCCCAGACATGCTCGCGTCGTTGGGCGGGGAGCGAAAGGGCAAGATAGCAAGGGGTAGGGTAGAGAAGCAGCTCACGTAGCTGGTTTTCCGGGCGCCAGGAGGCGCCCATGTATCGAGGCATGGGCCCGGCGGCGGGGCCAAACCAGGTGCATGCAGCAGATTTCGTAGACCCAGGTTTCGATGATCCTCAGAGCATGTGTTAGCGCCGACATGCGTTTGTCCACCGAGGCACCTCTCGTTACTGCGCACTGCCTGGCAACAGCCCCCAAGATCGTGGCCTCTGGATCCGAATGCTAGTCACATCCCCGTTTCACACCTTGCCGATGTGCATACCGTGCTCCGGCACACACGTTCAAGGATTTCATGCCTTGAGCGTGTTCCTCCTCCTCCTCCTCCTCCTGTCCCCGCACCCCCGCCTTCTTTTCCTGTCGTGCCCAATTCAGCCCCGTAGTGACCTTCGGCTACCTCCGACTGCGGCGTGGATCCGCGCCGCTGCGACCAAAAAGCTTGCACACCGAGGCCCTTCAAGACGACACAGACAATACAACGAAGGCCAACACAAGCTGCGCGCTGAAGGCAAGGCCGACTGGGGTAAACACGTTTGGGCGAACACGCGTCCTGAAAGCCATCGAATGTTTCCCACATGATCGGGTATCCGCTTCTTTGGTCGCGACTAACCAAACCGGTCGCTACTGGATGTGCTTCCCATCCCTGTATCGGTCGCGATCGATTTGCTTCTGTATCGGTCGCGACTATCGGTCGCGACCGATGTGGAGCGCCGATCGACATCCAACTGTCTGCCTCTGGTACATCAAAGCATAGGGTTCGAAGACACGGCTCGCATGAGCACTACAAATTCGGCTTCGACCCAACACCATGTCCATTCGCAACGTAGTCCCCTGGAGGTCTGGACCTATTCCCCAGGGAGCGTCCAGGGCGTCCAGTTCCTGGCCAGGGCGCCCAGAGGCCGAACATTGCTCAAAACGTCCAATCGTGTTTTTCCCACGACACGAGGGGGTCTGCTCGGATCACAACTATGGGTGCTTAAGGGATACGGGGGTCCCGTCTGGTCATTCCTCCATCCACGAATATGATTCGCCAGGGAAACTCAAGCCGCTGCCCTCAACCGAAATCTGAGTATCTGTGTAAATAACTACGCGTGGAAGCATATGTTCTGCACTAAAGGAAAAACACAACATAACAACTGTGCAAATGCAACCGGTGCGATGCCATCGAGCTGGGCAGCTAATTTTGATCAGCAGTACGAAACAACAGTACGCCTATCGCATCATACATGTAGGTCGAAAAGACACGCTATCACATGTGTAAACATGCTGGACGTGCGCTGCGAATGTATTAACAAGTACACTGCCAAAACGCTGACATTCTGAATGGTAAGCTGACTAAGTGTCGTCATGCTAGACATCTCGGGAACCAGCTTGACAATCACAAGCTCATTATGCATGTACACGATGCGGTCTGTCTTGGGGAAAAACAAGAAAACACCAGCAATCATAATGTGATCAACATGCCCGAACACAATATGCAGATCTCGCTGAATAGTATACACACGCGACCAACGCTCACACTCCCTGTCTGTGGAACCAGCGAGAGCCGCATGAACAGAACGTAACCAACAATAAGCAATTGATTTCAGACATGATCCAGCACCCTGGCGCTGAGGACGGCGTGGGCGTCCTCAAGTATGTTGCATATTCTCGTCAGCGCTCCAGAAGAGATTTTGAAACCGCCCCGGACCCCAAATTCTCAAATCTCTCGGGGATTGTCGCGGGCCCCCGGGCCGTGTCGCGTCTTCTCGCGTAACTTTAAGGCCCAGAAGGCTCCCAGGACGAGCCACGAGCGCCCCAAGAGGTCCCTAATACGGCGGCCCCAGAACGCCCCGAGACGCCTAAAAATCGCTCCAAGACGCCCATGATGGCCTCAACATAATCCAGAAAGCCTCCAACACACCCCGGAAAGCCTCTAACAGTTCTATCAAGAAGTCCCCAAGAGGTATAAAATCATTGAGATGTTCCCTTCGATTTTGAAACATTTTGGCGTTCTCGCCTTCTCTGCAATACGACGCACCAAGATGGCCCAAGGGGCACGACCCAAAAGGGCCCCAAGACGGCGCCGAAAGGGGCCCAAGAGAAGGAACGCGAACCAAGAACCCAAGCCTTCCGCCCCACGAGGCACCCAAGAGACACCCAGGAAGCCCCGTGGCCCCAAGAAGCCCCCCGAAGGCCCAACAGAGGCCCAGAAAGGCTCCAGAACGACCCCCAAGAGGCCTCAAACTTACCTCCAATCGGCCCCACCGAGGCCCCCCACGAGATCCCCAGGAATATGAAATAGGCTTTAGATCCGCAACGCAAGCACGGTGGCGGGACTGGCCTAAGGCCATTCGGTAATTGATCCCGTACATGCAGCACGATAGTCACATCCCGAAAAACGTAAACTGTAGCTAGAAAGCAACGGCACCCACGCATACGGTACCATAGATTTGGAAAACCATGTTGAAATGATGTTGATTGTGTTGGAGTGTGCTCGAGGTTTTGAAAATGTTTGTACCAGATTATGATACACCCGCAGCTTACCACAGCACCTTCGCGTGAGTTAGCCTGTGTAACTGACCTCCTCTGCTGTATCCGGAGAGAGGTTGGTTCCTCCTCTCTTGGCGTCCAAAAACCTGAGCCATAAATGAATGGACGTAAGCCTTATGGGCGTCTACAGATCGTTACGTGATTTGACAATACGTTGTAAATTGGCTATAACTACTATAGCGTGGTTACAACCGTTTGGCTAACGAACTAACGAATCAAACCCACCTGTTCACATGAACACCCTCAGAGGGGAAACCAACATGCACCGATGCCGCCACTCCCGGACCTCCCGGGAAGCAATTCGACCAGCATCTCCAGGCGAATCGGGCGGCGGCGACGAGAGCCTCCGAGGAGGCCCGATCAAAGGGCAAACGAGGCATGGGCAGCGGCGGCGGAGGAGGAGGAGGGGTACGTACCCTGCTCTTCCTCCGATCTCCGACCTTGGGCCGCCCCTCTTCGCGCGCTCCGCTCCTGGCACGCGCCGCCGGCCACACCTACGGCCGTGGGCGCGGCGGCCTGCGTGTGCGGGGAGAGGGGGGGGGGCCGTCGAGAGCAGAGGGCGAGTCGGGCCTGTCCCCCTACAGGGGCATTTCCCACGAAAAATACAGAATACCCCAAAACTAATAACAAAAGTAATCGAAACATAATTTGGGAACTATTTTTTGAATATGTTTGTCCTTCTTGGGGCATTTTTGCGGTATCTTTTATTTTCCGTCGAAAATCCCCCTGTAGGGGGACACGCCCGACATAAAGCAAAGGGCGAGGCGGCACCGACGATGCGGGTCTTGCAACCATGGGAGCCGCGCGTAAACACACGAAGGGAATCGAAGACGAGGCCAACGACGAGGATGAGCTCCCAGAAGCCCAGGTATGGACAAAGAAGAATGCGTGCAATTTCTCGCTGCATTCGGCGACCTCGCTGGGGGACCTCGCCGGTCTCCAGGAGAGTTGGAAACGACTCAGGATGAAAAACTGGTCCCTGGGAAGAGGCGAGACTTCTGGGGGCACCGTATTGGAAATCACCCGGTGACAGACCCAACCCTTTCTGAACATATGGCGGCTATACCCAGGACCGCTCACTACAAACGAACAAATAAAAGGACCTGCAGTGCGCATGGGCACCCAGAAGTGAAATCCGCCGACCCTGTCGGCGTGTGTGCGGGGCTTCACCTTTCTAGTGGTCGTCGCCTTCATTCGTGAATCGTCGTCTCTGTCGTCTTCCTTCCTTGCGTTTTCCTTTCCCTGTGCCCGTCGCCGCTTCCCCCTCCTTGCCTGGGCCCTCCTCCGCAAGCGCGGCAGCCAAAACGAAATTGAACAGCGTCGTAATAGACTCGAAAGGAAACCCGTTTCCTTTGATCCCTTCCCGCGGGGAGGGGGGGGGCCATGTCAGGTCGGGGGGGGGTCCTGGGGGGAGTCCTGGGGGTAGTCATGGGGGGGTGTCCCAGGGGGGGGTCCCGTGAGAGATACGACTCCCCCCCGGAGTGTCCTGGAGCCCAACAAAGCCAAGACGAGCCAAGGGTGCCCCAAGAGGCTCCCAAGACGGTCCGAGAGGGCTTCGAATCGCTGAACGATCTGTCCAAGACGCCTTCACGGCCTCCAGACGGACCACGAGTCCTGCAAGACGTCCCAAGAAGCTTCCAGGAGCACTTCCAAGACGACCCCAACAGGAGAACTCATCGACTTTTAAAAAATGATTGATGCATTTTGGCGTTCTCGCCTCTTCCCCTACCCGACGTTCCAAGACGGCCCAAGAGGCCTCAGATCATTCCAAGACGGTCGAAGAGGCGTCCAGGGGGGACCCAAGACGGCCCAAGACGCCTCCAAGATGGCCCAAGACGCCTCCAAGACGGCCGAAGAGGCCTCCCAGACAGCTCCAAGAGCGTGCCCAGATGAGGGACCAGAGCGGACATTTCGAGCCCTCGGCTCCGAGAGGCTCCAAGGGGGAACGAAGAGCCCAAGAGACTCCCAAGACGCCCCCAGGCATCCCCAAGAGGCCCCCAAGAGCCTCCCACGAAACCCCCAAGAGGCTCCCAAGACGCCCCTGAACTGTCCCCCCGAGGCCCCCGAGAGCGCTTCGAAGACACCCCAAGAAGCATCCCTGAGGACTCTGACCCACGTTGGCGTCGTCGCCGTCGGCAGCCCGACGGCTTATACACAGTAACATGTTTCGGTGGCGACTCCTCCGCCATCCAGATCCTCCTCAATTCTCCTCCTAATTACCTTCCCTTCTCCATCCTCTTAACCCTCCTTCTGCTCCACCTCCTTCGTCCTTCTCCCCCCTCCCTCCAATTCCGCCACCTCCACCTCCTCCTCCTCCTAAAAATTCTCTCCCTGCCCCCCTCCTATTTCTCCCTTTCCTTCTTCCACTCCTCTTCCTCTCTCCTTCTCTCCTCCTCCTCTTCCTCCTCCTCTCTCTTCCCTCCCTCCCTGCTCGTCGTCATCGTCTCCCCCCTCCCGAAGAGCACACGACGTCTCCAAGAGGGTGCCAAGACGGAGGACCGCAACGGACATCTGGAACCCTCGGCCCCCAGAAGCTCTCCGGAGGCCCCTAAAGGGTCCTGCTGCTCGTTCTCCTCCTCATCCTCCTCGTCCTCGTCGTCGTCGTCGTCTTCAGGATCGGCGGCACCGGCTGTAAGGCCTTCTCAATCAGAAAAATGCGGCAGCGGGAGTACGGGAATAACGGCTGGTTCTGATAGCACCTCTACTCCGCTGGACCTCCCAAGAGCCCATTGCGAACATTCCAGCCCCCCACAGAGCCCCGCGAGGTCTCGGCGAGGTGCGCGTGGCATCTCACTCCACTGGGCTCCCAAGAGCCCACGATACTGGCAACGGTTCCATACTTCGCAACCCCAGAAGGAGCCGCGCGGTCTCGGCGAGGTGTGCGTGACACCCCACCCCGCCCTGCCTCGCAAAGGCCCAGAGCCCCACGAGAGTGGCGACAATTTCACGCTTCGCAGCCCCAGGGAGCCGGGAGGTCTCAACGGGGTCCCTGTACAGCTCCACTCCGCTGGACCACCCAGGAGCCGACGAACATGGCGGCAATTCCATGCTTCGCGACCCCACGAGGGAGCAGCGACGTCTCAACTGGGTCCCCGTGCAACGCCACTCCGCTGGACCTCGCAGGAGCCCGCGAGGTCTCAACTGGGTCCCCGTACAACGCCACCCCGCCGGGCCTCCCAGTGGTCCACGAAAGTGGCGACCGTTCCACTTGTCGCAGCCCCCCAGGGAGCCGCGAGGTCTCAACTGGGTCCCCGTCGCTGGACCTCCCAGGAGCCCACGAAAGAGGCAACGGTTCCACACTTCGCAGCCCCACAAGGAAGCCGCGAAGTATCAACTGGATCCCCGCACAACTCCACTCCGCTGGACCTCATAGGGGCCCGCCAGGGTGGCGACAATTGCACACTCCGCAGCACCCCAAGGAGCTTCGGGGTCTGAACTGGGTCCCCCTGCAACTCCACTCCGCTGGACCTCCCAGGAACCAACGAAGGTGGCGACACTTTCTCACATATCCCCTCAGGGAGCCGCGAGGTCTCAACTGGGTCCCCGTACTACTCCACTCCGCTGGACCTCCCAGGAACCCACGAACATGGCGACACTGCCACGCTTCGCAGCCCTCCGAGGAGCCGCGACGTCTCGACTGGGCCACCCTACAACTCCACACCGCTGGACACCCAAGCAACCCACGAACGTGGCGACAGCATCCCCAGAGAGCCGAGAGGTCTCAACTGGGCCCCCGTACAACTCCACTCCGCTGGACCTCTCAGAAGCCACGACCATGGCGACAATTCCACACTTCGCAGATCCCCTAGGGAGCTGGGAGGTCTCAACGGGGTCCGCGTACAACTCCACTCCGCTGGACCTCCCATGAGCCCATGAACGTGGCGACAATTTCACACTTCGCAGCACCCAAAGGCGCCGCAACGTCTCAACTGGGCCCGAGTACAACGCCACCCCGTTGGACCTCCCAGGAGCCCACGAACGTGGCGACGGATTCTCTCTTCGCACCCCCCCAGGGAGCAACGAAGTCTCAACGGGGTCGCTGTACAACTCCACTCCGCTGGACATCCTAGGAGCCCAAAGACATGACGACACGTGCACGCTTCGCATTCCTTAACTAAGGGGCCGCGACGTCTCACCTGGGTCCCCGTACAAATCCACTCCGCTGGACGCCCCAATAGCCCACGCAAGTGGCGGCACTTTCACGCTTCGCGCCCCCCCCCGGGAGCCGCGAGCCGCGAGGCCTCAACTGGGTACCCGTACAGCTCCGCTCCACTTGACCTCCCATGAGCCCACGTAGATGGCGACGGTTCCAAACTTCGCCCTACCCCCCGGAGCGCAACGAAGTCTCAACTGGGACCCCGTACATCTCAAACTCCGAAGGACATCCCAGGAGCCTGAGAACGTGGCGACGGTGTCACCAATCGCATTCCCCCTAGCTCGCCGCGATGTCTCACCCGGGTCCCCTGTACAACTCCACTCCGCTGGACGTCCCAGCAACCAACGAACGTGGTGACAATGTCTCACGTCGCAACCCCCTGGGGGATCGCGAAGTTTCGTACCTGTACAACTCCACTCCGCTGAAGTTCCCAGGAGCCCAAGAAAAAAGGCGTCACTTACGCACTTCGCAGCCCCTCAGAGATCTGCAAAGTCTCAACTTGGTCCCCGTACAACTCCACTCCGCTGGACCAAACACGAACCCACAAACGTGCCGACAATTGCACACTTCGCAGCCCCCCTAGGGAGCCGCGAGGTCTCAACTGGGTCCTCCTACAACTCCACTCCGCTGAACCTAGCCCACGAACATGGCGACCATTTCACATTCCGCAGCCCCCCAGGGATCCTCGAGGTCTCAAAGAGGTCCGCGTGCAACTCCACTCCGCTGGCCCTCCCAGGCGCCCACGACAATGGCGACAATCCCACACTTCGCAACCCCACATGGGGCCGCGAGGTTTCAACGGGGTCTCCGTACAACTCCTCCCCGCTGGACCTCCCAGGAGCCCACGGAAGTGGCGACGGCGTCGCACTCCGAAGTCCCCCGAGAAACCTCGAGGTCTCAACTGGGTCCCGCTACAACTCCACCCCGCGGGACATCCCAGGAGCCTGAGCACGTGGCGACAATGCCACACTTCGCAGCCCCCCCTCAGGGAGCCGCGAGGCCTCAACTGGGTCCTAGTACGACTCCACTCCGCTGGAAGCCCCAAAAGCCTCCGAAAGTGAAGACACTGCCACCCTTCGCAGCCCCCCCCGAGCCGCGAGGTATCGACTAGGTCCCCTTACAACTCCACTCCGCTGGACCTCCCAGGCGCCCACGAAAATGGCGATACTTACACACTTCGCAGCCTCCCAGACGCCGCGAGGTCTTAACGGGGTCTCCGTACAACTCCTCCTTGCTGGACTTCCCAGGAGCCCACGGAAGTGGCGACGGCTTCGTACTTCGCAGCCACCCCCAAGAGCCGCGAGGTCACAACAGGGTCCCAGAATAGCTTCACTCCGCTGGACATCCCAACAGACCACGACCTTGGCGACAACGCCACAATAGCAGCCCCCCAGGGAGCCGCGAGGCCTCAAACGGGCCCCCGTACATCTCCACTTTGCTGGACGTCCCAAGAGATTCCGAAAATGGCGGCACTGCCACACTTCGAAGCTCCCCCACGGAGCCGCGAGGTCTCGCACAACTCCACTCCGCTGGACCTCCCAGGAGCCCACGAAACCGGCGACGGCTTCACACTTCGCAGCCCAAAGACAGAGCCGCGAGGCCTCAATGTGGACCGCGTACAACTCCCCCCCGCCTAACCTCCCAGGGGCCCATGAAAATGGCAACATCTCAACACTTCGCAGCCGGGGAGCCGCGAGGTGACAACTGGGGCCCCGTACAACTCCACCCCGATGGACCTCCGAAAAACCCACGAAAGAGGCAACGGTTTCACACTTCGCAGCCCCCCAGGGGGCCACGAGGTCTCAACGGGCCCCCGTACAACTCCACTCCGCCAGACCTCCCAGGAGCCCACGAAAGTGGCAACAAATGCGCTCTTCACAGACCACCTATGAAGCAGCGGGGTTTCAGTCGGTCCTCGTGCCACTCCGCTCCGCTGGACCTCCCAAGAGCCCAAGAAAATGGCGACGGCTCCACACTTCGCAGCCCCCCCGGGAGCCGTGAGGTCTCAACTGGGTCCCCGCGAACCTCCACTCCGCTGGACCTCCCATGAGTCCACGACAATTGTGGCAATTTCAAACTTCGCAGCCCCCCATAATGTCAGCCAGGGATTAGCAAATCCGTGGGGGGCGCGTATTTAAAAAATCGTTCCCCTTCTCGGGCGAATCGCGGCTTGGCGCCTGCCAGGTTGAAAATCAACGTCGCGGCGCCGGTGATTAGCGCCGACGCCCAGCCGCCAACGAGAAGGCGACAGACAGCACAGACTGGGGGATGGGAGGGTCGGGAGGCAAGGGCGAGGCAGAGCGTTTCTCTTTCTGTCGAGCAGATGCGGGTTGCGGGCCAGGCGGGATGGACGAAAGGGGGGCGCAGCAAAGTGGGGATTTGCCAAGCAGCTCCCGTCGCCGACTTTCCAAGTGCCTCCTGGCGCCGAAAGCGGCCATGCGTCGAACACTGGCCCTTCGGCGAGGCGACCGAAACCAGCTGCTCGCAGCAGGTTTCCCAACCCCCCCTTTCCGTCCCCAGCGTGTCGTCTAGCACGGCGGGCAGTCTTCCACCTCCACCTCCAATTCCTCCTCGTCCTTGTCCTCGTCCTTGTCCTCGTCCTCCTCCTCCTCCTCCTCCTCCTCCTCCTCCTTCTCCTCCTTCCCCTCCTCCTCCTCTTCCTCGTCCTCCGCATTCTCCTCCTCCTCCCCCCTTCCCCCCCCTCTATCCTCCTCCCCCCCTGGCGCGCGTGGTCACGAACAAAAACATCGCGCCCCGCGGGGTCTATTCATCAGCCCTTCTTCTCATGTGTTAACCACAAGCTGACATTAAGGAGCCGCGAGGTCTCAACACTGTCCGCGTACAACTCAACTCCGCTGGACCTTCCAGGAACCCTCGAAGGATGCGACAGTTGCACACTTCGCAGCCCCCCTAGGGAGCCGCGAGGTCACAACTGGGTCCCCGTGCAACTCCACTCCGCTGGACCTCCCAGGCGCCCGCGAGAGAATGCCGACAGTCCCACACTTCGCAACCCCCCACGGCCCAACATGGCTTTTGGGCGGACCGCGAAGCCCTCCAGACAGTCCACGGAAACTCCCACGGGACCCGCAGGGCCGGTGGGCGCCTCGAACTCCCCTCCCCCAAGCCCCGGGCGCTCCGAAGCCTCCCCACCCGCGACTCCAGTCCCGCCCGCGCGCCGAGGCGATGAAAACCACCTGTCGCTTCAGTTCGGTATGGCATTTCTGCGATATGTCACGCATGAATCTCGGGTCGGGCGAAAGGGGGGGATGGCAAAGGGGGGGTTTGAGAATCAGCTCACGTAGCTGATTTTCCCGGCGCCTCCCGGCGCCTGTGTATCGAGGAATGTGGGCCCCTCGGTGGGGCCGAAACCAGCTGCATGCAGCAACGTTCGATAGCTCCCCCTTTCCCCATTAAACCCCCCCTTTTCGTCCGGCCCGAGAATCTTCATACCACGTCCAAAAGTTGCCTACCGGATTCGCACTTCTCCACCCTGGCAAGGGGGTCCTCACGGCCCCGCCGGGGCCCAGGCGCACCAGCTCTTCCAGCTGCGTCCGGCCGCAGCGGCGAGGCGGGGCCCCGGAGGCCAAACGACTTCGAACATCGATCTTCGGGGCTTGAGCTTCGAACCGCTCGGGCGGCCACGGGGTCGGGGAGAGAAGACGTAGAGGAGATAGGAAGAGGCAGAGATGGCCGAGGAGGAAAGAGGCGGGAAGGGATTTCCTCTTGAAGCGGGTCCTCCTGAGGCGGCAATCGACAAGTGAGTGGAAAAAAAAACAGCTAAGCGCGGCAGCCCCCCAGGCACACATGAAAAATGGAGGGGTGCTTCCAAACGAGACCTGCACAGCGCTCGACGACCGCAAGCGAGTCGAACAACTTCCAGAAGGCCCTGCACGGCTGTCACCGTCGCTGTCCTCTTCTTCCACGAATTTACCAGAATAAAAAATTGAATTGCCTCAGTATAGCCGCGCGCCTTAATCAGCTCACCCATGTAGTAACGTTCCTTGGTTTTCTCGCGGATGGTCTCGCCCTCGAGCGACTCAACCTCTGACAGGCGCGGGGGGGGGTGGGGGCGCGGAATGTCACGTTCTATGTTGTTGCTACCCCTCCTCCTCCTCATCCCCGCCCTCCTCCTCGCCCCCCCCCCCCCTCCCCTGTTGCCCCCCCATCCCCCTCCTCCTCCCCCTCGCCATGCTCCTTCTCATCTTCTCCGTCCTTCGATGCAGCTGGGGCGGCAACGTCGCCCTTCTGGATTCCACCTTGCCCCCGCAAGTGCGCGCCAACTACATAGTGGAGCACCCCGTTCTTCTCCCCCCTCCTCCGCATCCCCCCATGCCCCCCTCCCCTTCCCCCCTCTGCCGCGTTTGAGAGACGGCGGGAGGTCGGGGGGCGAGAGGGCGGGGGGGCGACACCATGTCTAGTTTGCTGGAATGCTGCAGTGCCAGGGCAGGGACGTTGGTGCGACACCTCATTTCTCAACCCCCCTCCCGTCGGAGTCGCCTCTGGTTCGAAGTCGCGATGCTCGCCAGATCTCTTGCCGATGAGGGCGTCGGGGGCATCGTCGCAAATGTCATCGCTGATGTCCTCGGCTTTGTCGAGCTCGATGCTCGCATCAGAGGTGTCGCATGGCCCCCCTGGATCTGGATCAGAGGGTGGGCGGATTCGAAGCGCGGGGTCTCTGCTTGCCTGCGCCGAGGGAGGGGATCGCGACTCTGGGCGGCCCCGTTCGAGGGGCGGGGGGGGGGGGGGGGGATGAGGAGGGGGGGAAGGAGGGGGACGAGGCGGAGCAGGGTGAGGATGTGGAGGAGTATAACGAGGAAGAAATGCGCTGGCCTTCTTCGTGGCCTCGTAGAACTCGGGGGAGGGGGGGCGGCGCAACGTCTTGAGAAGAAGGTGGATAAGGAGAGGGCGATGAGAGGGCGAAGGAGGAGAATGAGACAGCCTGGTCGTCGCTCTGATCACCCCCTCGAACGTGTCGCGCCATTCCTCGGGTATTTGAAACGTCTTGCACGACAATGATGAATCGCCGCTCCCTTCAGACATCGCATCGCGCTCCCCGTTGTCCCGACAATAGAGGGGCGCGCGTGGGGGACAGGGGGCGGGGGGGGGGCAGCGTGGAGGTAGTGAGAGAGGGATGGGCGGCCCTCGCGATCCGCTTGGTCCGCCGACAAACCCCGAATCGGTAAGGTCGCCTGGTCTTCCAACGACCTTTGCGTCGCTAGCGCTATATCCGCACTGGGTTGGGAATCGATGTCACATTCAAACGTTATGTCGACATCGGAGGACACTTCCAGGCATTCTGTTTCCTCTGGGGGGAGGGGCAGGTTGGGGCTGTTCCTCTCCAGCGGTCCTCCTTCTCATCGTCCTCCGCGCCCTCCGTCGGCCCGCCCCCTCGCCCTCTGCAGAAACAGGAAGTGGGTTTTATCATTCCCCGTTTTTTCACAATGTTTGCGCCCCCTCATCCATACCTTCGTCGCCCCTCCTCAGCTATGAAACATCAGCGTTCTGACAACTGTTTTTTTGTTGTTGTTCGAATGCTGCCCAAGCCCTGCTATGTATCCTCCATCCTCCTCCTCCTTCTCCCTCCCCCTCCTCCTCCTCCCCCTGTTTATTATTCTCCTCCTCCTCCGAAGCCGCTGAAAAGGTGGTCAAGCGAATGTTCAAAACTCGCCGGATCATTTTTTTTGTTTCTCTCTCTCTCTCTCTCTCTCTCTCTCTCTCTCTCTCTCTCTCTCTCTCTCTCTCTCTCTCTTTTTTCATGCCCCCCCCCCCCTCCTCCTCCTCCTCCTCCCGCCTCTTCCTTTTTTTCCCTATCTCCTTCTCCTCCTCCTCCTCCTCCTCCTCCTCCCCCTCCTCCTCCTCCTCCTCCTCCTCCTCGCGCGGACGCGCGTGCCGTCGCTATACAGAGGTCCGCATACTCTCAGGAGCCCCTCCCCCCAGCCCCGTTGATGCCTTTGACCCCTGGTCTTTTCAGGGCACACTGGGACCTCCTCGAGAAAATGCACATGCCGCGCCTTGGCCCCGTCCTTCAAGAAGCTCCAGAGGCATTGGTTTTTGATCGAATTAGAGGACGTGCCCTTCGATTTCGCCAGCTTCTGGATCGAATCCCTGGCCTCCTGCGCGCTCATGTCCGATCGGTTTCGGCCGGTCTTGAGTTTCTGCCAGAGCGAACTCATCTGGGCGGGGGTAAAGAAATCCTTCAGCATAGCGGGGCCAGCGACGGTTATGTTGTTCGCTTGGACGTGCTCTTTGAAACGATCGATCATATCCTGGAGGTTCTTTTCGGACTTCTGTTTGTCGGGCTTGTCGTCCTCGTCGACTGGCCCATCAGCAGCTGGCGAGGCTTCGGGCTCAGTTGGGGAAGGCTCGGGCTCCTTCCCAACTGGCGAGGGCTCGGGCTCATGGCCTCCCTCCAAGGAACCTTCATGACCTTCCCCAAGTACCTCAGGCGGGGGCCCCTCAGGCCCCTTCGAATCAGGCGCTGCCTTCGCCTTCCTGGTCCCCGACGGCCTTTTGAGCACGGACGCCCCGCGAGCAACCATCAGTTCAAGAAATTGTGGTGGAGATTCGAGATCGGAAGATCGTGAACCTTGCTCGGTCTCGAAATGGCTGCGGTAAAACGGCAGAAGGTGCTGTTGGTCGTTGGTTCGGCCAAGCCCTTGAGGCCGTGCGTTTTTTTGTTTTTTGATTTTTTTTTTTGGGGGGGGCTGGGGGTCTCTGGGCGCGCCGCCATGTTTCTGAGGCCGCGGGGGGGGGGGAGGGGCGGGCTCCGCGATCCACCGCGACCCCCTCCCTCCCGATATCAGGGGGGCGGGGTTGAGCAACAGCAGTAACGGCAGCAGCAGCAGCATCGGGGAGAAGCGGCGAGGGCAGAGGGGTCGGACTAAGAGGCAAGCGGCAAGGTTTTCTTCTCCCCCGCGGGCAGGGGAAACCAACGTCGAAATCACACCTTTCTAGTCCCGAGATGTTCGCCCAGAGTGCCGGGGACGCACGAAACTTTGGCACGCGAAACAGCAGAGCAACCCCCGGCGAGGGCGAACAATTTTGAAAACCTCCAGGATGCTTAGGGCGAGGTGGAGGAGGACGACGACGAGAATGACGAGACGGACGATGATGAAGCACACGGGCACATGGCCGTCGGCACCTCTGCTGTCGAGGAGCGCTGCTGCTAAGCGCAGACGGCGCGGCGCTCTGAAGGGGCCAGGGCAAGTCAGCAGGCCATTGCCAGTTGACTTGCGCTGGCCTCTTCAGTGAACGATCAGCTGAAGGGGGGGGGCTGGGAGAGCAGTTGCACCACCCCTCTGTTTGCCAACCCCGCCCCTTTTCACCACCGCGTGGGGTGATGCAAAAGCTAATGGCGGGATCGGCGAAAACTGAGAGGTGGGGCCACGTCTTTCCTCATATCCACCCCCGGCCCCGTTCTGATGTACCGATGGGGCTGCCTCGAAAATCGAATGAGCACACGCCCTCGCACCACTACGATCAATCAGTATATTCGCCGCCATCTTCGCCTCCATCGTCGGAACTATCCCCTCGGTCTCCAGCAGCTGCTGCATATTTGTCTCTCAAGACGCTCATCTTGAGCGACTGCCGTTTTGCTACCACCCCCTCTTTCGTGCACGGCGTTGTTGCGACCCACTCAAATATTTGAGTACATATCTCTTTGTGGGCATCCCCAGTGACTTCAATCGGTAAGGGCCACTTCCCAGTGGATTCGTTCCAGGAAACGATGTAGGACTTCTCGGCGGCGCAATGCAGCTTGATTTTGCCCCAGCTCGGCGAACCCAATACTGGACGCATGTTCTTTTCTTTCTTCCCCATGGCGCTAGAAGCAGTTGGTCTCTTGGGCACCCTGGGAACACCACCCGAAGAGCTGGCAGCAGCAGGCCTTCTCAGAACGTTCTCGGGCTCGACAGCAGACGGTTTCTTGTTCAGGATTGACGTTTTCAGTTCCCCTCGTGCGTGGGGAAGGGGTTCCTGGGCTTCCTCGACCAGAGTCCGAAACAACGAATCTGGAGTGATGGCTCCCTAAAAGGGTTCGGAGGGCCACGCTGCGACGGCACTCGCCAGAAAAGGGATGGGGGCGTAGGGAGGAAGACGGGGTGGAGCAGGACGAGTGACGGGCAAAACGAAGAGGAGGAGGAGGAGGAGGAGGATGGGGGGGGAGGAAGATGAGGAGGAGGAGGGGGAGGAGGAGGAGGAGGAGGGAGGAGGAGGAGGAGAGGAGGAGGGGAGGAGGAGGAGGAGGAGGGGGGGGGGGAGATGAGGAGGAGAGGGAGAACGTCCGATGCCATTCCCTCGCAGCGCGGATTTCTGAACCCTGGCCTTCGAGGGTTTGCTCTGCGCCGTCGTGCCCGTGGCCTCGGGGAGCACCTAAGGTTCGAGTGAAACTTACGTCGGCGCCACCTGCTCCTCCTCCCCCTCCTCCTCCTCTTCCTCCCCCTCTTCCTCCCCCCCCCCTCCTCCCCCCATCCCCCTCCCTCTCCTCCTCCTCCTCTTCGCCCTCCTCCGCGCTCAGGGCCCAGAGCACCTTTCTTTCGATGTCGGCCGCGCACTTGGTCTGCGCGCCGTCACCCTCGGGAAGCGCCGAAGGTGGGCGGAGGAGGATGAGGAGGGGGAGGAGGAGGCGGAGTAGGAGGAGGAGGAAGGGGAGGAGGTTGAGGAGGAGAAGGACGACCAGACCTTCTTCGCACCCGACGGCGAAGAATCGTGGGCCATCTCGTCCTCGTCCTCGGAGCTAGTGTCGTCGCTAAGGTTGGAGCTGGCGGCAAAATCTGATTTTCCAGGCGTGCGTTCTGGGGATGCATCGGGCTCGCCACCATTGAGTTCTTTGATCCATGCATCTAGGTGAGCCTTCTGCTCAGGTATAGCTGTCTGGCACGCGTTGTCGTAACGGTAAGTCTTGTAGGTCGTCCCAAGAGATTCCGAAAATGGCGGCACTGCCACACTTCGAAGCTCCCCCACGGAGCCGCGAGGTCTCGCACAACTCCATGCCGCTGGACCTCCCAGGAGCCCACGAAACCGGCGACGGCTTCACACTTCGCA